AACATATATACATTTTTTTTTCTCTAACCTATTAAAATATTATTTAAAAAATACCTGTACAGCTGAGACAAAGCACCTAGGAGTAATGTCAAAAGGCAAAGTGAATGAGGACGTTGTTTTAAACCTTGCATTGTATTTGAAAATTGTGAGTAAGGTAGTCTTAAGGTTATTATAAATAACCGATCATTCATTAAAAAAAATATATTTTCCTTGTATAGTAATAACTTTTTAGGATGTGTTAATAACTTAAAGATGTATGCTTTTTGTAATTTGCTCTAAAATTATTAATTTATATTTAAAAGAAAGCGAATTTTTACAGCTTATTGTCTGAAATTTTTTTTCCATTAAACAGTGGTATTTATTTTTGAATAAAGATAATTAAGTTTTTTAAATTTTGTTAATTTTAAGTTATTAGTTTAAGGTTACTTACCTTAGACTTCAGGCTTACTTTCTTCTTTTGCATAATTTTTTTTTAAGAATTGTAATTTAATGTTTATAATCAGGTATTAAAAACGTTAAAAAAAAGAAGAAAACTTATCTTATACTGTTATTGTTCAGAACAACTTTTCATTGATCCATTATCCTAGTATATAAATATACTTGGCTCTGCAAATAGGCATTGCTTTTTGTTGACTCGATTCTTCAAAGACAAACACCAACCTTTAGTGTTATTTATTTTGGGTTTCAAATAGGCATGTAACCAAAGTTAAAAAGATTATTTGCATTAACTTTGCATAACTTAATTATTTTTCTCTTTCCCATTTCAGGAAGAAAAAATTATTTTCAAATGACCAGCTTAAGACTATTTCACTGTTTAAGAAGAACAGCTTCCACATTATCTTCATTTCAAAATGTTACTTCAAAAGAAGTTGCAACTAATGACTTTTCTAAAACAGATGAACCAGTCACAGAAGCATCTTTACGACTTCCACCTTTGCCTTCGCCAAGGGATCTCTTAAAACTTTATAGAATTAAAGCTCAACGTAATTTGTCTCAAAATTTTCTTCTGGATTTCAGACTTAACAATAAAATTGTCACCAGCACAGGAAATGTGAAGGATCATTATGTTTGTGAAATTGGACCTGGTCCGGGAAATATTACTCGAGCCATTTTGCAGAACNAAAAAAAAAAAAATAAATAAAAAAAAATAAATAAAAAAAAATAAATAGTTAAAAATTAGTTAGCTTTAATCGATGAGAAGAGGTTTGTTTGAAATGTTTGTTGCTTTCTAAAATAACTTTTTTTTTAAAATTTAATTTTCAACTCTAAATTAAATCATTGATAGCATCGCTTTTAGGGCACTCTGACTACAACATGAGGAAAGAGCTCTCTAAATTAAAGCTTCACACAAATATTTTGAATACATTTTAATCTGCTTATTCGTTTTGTTAACGTTCTTGTTTTGATATTTTTTCATTTTCTCTTAATTGACCATTAGGCGTAAATGTTTGCCCGGTCGCTGGGAGAGGTTTTAATTTTCTCTCCTTAAGGTTATCATCAACACAAAGTCTATGGAAAAAATTCCGTGCCTCCCTAAAAGTGGCCGTATATAGAGGTGAACGCTACCTAGACGTGGTCTTTGCTGAAGGTTTCACGTATAAAATTTTTATAATAATGGTTTATAAATAAACCATTATTTCCTATAATTATTATAAGTGAAAATGGTTTATAATTTAAAAAAAAAACTTTTTAAATAGTTAGCAAATAATGTTTTTTATTACCTGTTTTAAGATTTTTCGGCATTTGCCTATTATCTAATAATTTGAAATATTTTACGAAATAAATTCAAATCATGATATTATCTTTTTTAAGTTTTTAAATGTTTCATTCCTTTTTTAACGAAATTTCGATAGATTCAGCATAAGGTACCTTTTGATTGACGAACCCTGATGAAAATTTTTTCATTTGTAATATAATAGTACGTTTATAAGATAATATATTATTAAACGAACAAAAAATTTAATTTAGCGTAAAAAACGAACTTCCACAATCTTGTTAATTTTCAATACATATATGTAGTCATTTATTTATTTTTTTCTCTTCTAGTTTGCTACTCTTTGTAAATCTAGCTGTCTGAAATATTTTGTATCTACTAAAAATGCTAAACTACTAAACCGTAAATATGTATTAAACAGTGAATTTCACAATAAACTTAAAACGCTAAATTTTTTTTTAAAATATTTTTTTTGTTCTTCATTTTTTAAATAGCTTTAGGATACCGTTTTACTACTTTACCGTTTACAGATACTACTTTACCGTTTATTTTAATGCAAAACTAAAGATTAAGCAGTGTCGGGATTCAGGCGATCGATAAGGGGACCGAGGCTGATCTGTAACATGGGGCTCTATCCATTAAAAATTAACCGAAATTTATCATACATTCGGTACTAATACATTTTTTTAAATATTTAATTTCAATTCAGCTGCTCCTTGAAATTTACAGTTAAAAAAAAAGAGAAAAATAAGATATATATTCTGAATAAAAGGAAAATAACAGAAAAGAGATTACATATTAAAAGTTTTACAGTTAATGCTTCCGTAGCTTTGAAGTTCAACGATATCATTGATGCCTAAAATACTCATAAAAATGATTGTACAGCTTTATTTTAAATTTTTGAAAAAAAAAAGCTTTATTCGAGAAAATGTAAATAAATAAAATAATTTTAAATTAGACAAATTTATAAATATCACATGTTAAAGAAAATAAGTAAGATGATTCAGTTGAAATTAAACAGAATAACCGATTTTATTACATAGAAGTTTATTATATAGAACCAAATAATCGATTAACAAAATAACCAATAGATTTATTTATTTATTTAAAAAATAAAATAAAAATAAAAACTTTAAAAAGAAGTGACAATATTTTTTTTAAAGATATATTCTAAGAACCATTTTAGAATTGGTATGCAAGTGAAAATGCGTCTCTCTCATCCAGAAAATTTAAATTGGGAAGAGGTCGGTCGTCAACGTTGAAGGAATGCATTGCCTTAATTGAACATACCAATTTATTTTAGTATTTTGGAAAATTTATACTCAAAATATAGAATGTATTTTAATAAAATATTAAATTTTTCTGCGTAAACAGCCTTAGTAGCAAAAAAATTGGGGTGAATTAAGCCTCAGCCTCAATTCGGCCCAGAAAGATTAAAAAAATTTCATAACTTATTCATTCACAATAAGTTGCATTATGTTATTCAATGGCATTTGAATTTTGAACAGATATTAATAATTTAAGGGGGAAAAAAAATTCTTTTCACATGTTTTATCTAAGAACTCATTAAGAATATTTGAGAGAAGAGCTGTGTAGTCCAAATTATAAGAATTGCAGAAATTCACTTAATATAAATTTAAATTATTTTTTCAATTGTTAAACATAATATTTAATATGTATAAATAAAGCTCTTCATTATGGTTAAAATCAATATCTGTTTTTAGTTAGATGGATTAAGATCTCGCATAAAATTTTTGTGTAACCTGTGCTGCCACCTACTTTTGAATTTAAAAGGAATTACTCAAAAAAAGTTATAAAACTTTATCTAATATTCTAAAATTATTTTTCCTTTATAATTATGAAACCTTGTTTATATAATTTGCATCATAATTAAAAAATATTACAACAAAGACTAATAAATTAATGTTTTATTTTCTGATTTTGCATTGATCTGATTTTAACTGTATGGTTAACTGTAAGTAAATGTTTGTAAACACACATTAGGATGGATTTTGAGTTCTTCAAATTATGTTTTCTCATGTACTTAACTTCAAGAAAAAAGAATAATGGTTTTCATTATTTGATTCCTAATATTTGTATGTAAAAAAAAAGGTAATTCTTAATTAATTGCTGTGTAATAATGGCATGTTGAAAATGTTAGCTCCTTAAATTGAAATTCATAATAAAATCAGCATTTGTGCAATTTTTAAAAATTTTACAGTCTTTTCATTTTGTGAGGGATATTATAAGGAAAGTTTCTGAGGGATATTTCATTATTATATTATTGGGTATTGATATTTGAGATTTTAAGAGGAAATTGCCTGATTGCTTAGCTGGAATAACGAAATCTACCGTATATTTTACTGATTATTTTGGTGCAGATACCGATGCAGAAAATTTTCTCTGGAGATCAAACATACTAATAAGACTTAGTAAATAAAACTGAATTTGTTTTTGAAACTAAGGTTATAAATATGGAATACTTGTGAATTATGAATGCTACCGCCCATGAATTTCAATTTACCCATAGTTTTTTTTTTTCAATTTTTAAAAATTCATAAAGTAAAAACCTCTGAAAATCTTTTATTTAAGCCAAGCGACATATTTCATTGCTTAATTTGACTTACACAAAATTTTCTCTTTACTTAAAGCTCCACACAGCTTGCCCAGAAATTCAGATTGAATGTTTCTCCAATTGCATTAAGTTATCTTCTGTCGATGATTTTTGGAGATATTTATGCATCGGTATCGCACCAACTACGATAGCCACGGTCCTAAAATATTTTAATACTTGAAAAAACTTAAAATACGTGTAGATCAGTGCTTTACTTGTGGTTGGTTTTACCCTTTGAATTGGTTCCCATCTTGATATTCTTTTTAATTTCCTATGTAACATTGCCGATTTGTTGCCAACGTTTGGTGATTATTTTGGTGCAGGTTGCAATTTAAAAATCTTCCCTAATTAGCATACATTATTTCTGATGTGCTTGTAAAACTAATTCATTTTAATAATGTAGCGACCAAAATTATTGTTTTTACACAGCATGCTAGAAAGATAGTTTTACTCTTTTAATGAACTATATTTTATGCTAGAATAAATGATCTGGATTATAATAATCCAGAACAGTTTCATGAGCCAGAGTGGTCGATGTGATGACCCCTGTGGCTCGAACAAAAACAGGCGTTGTAATGTGAGGTGGCTATATTTGGAAGATGCAAAACTAGAGCAAGTATTTCATTTCAAAATTCATAAATACTGGACTTCATAAGGACCTAGGAGTAATGTCAAAGGGAAAGGCGAATGAGGACATTGTTTTTGAAAATTGAGAGTAAGATTAAAATTATTCATTAAAAAAATAAGAAAAAATTTATTTTCCTTGTATCGTAATAACTTTTTTGGATGTTTTATTAACTTAGTGATTTATACTTTTTATAATTCCCTCTAAAAATATAAAAATTTTTTTTTAAAAGAAAGCAAATTTTTAACAGCTTATTGCCTGAAAAAACGTTTGCATTAAACAGTGGTATTTTTAAGTAAAGATAATTAAGTTTCATTAATTGTAAGTTATTAGTTTAAGTTAGTTACCTTAGACTTCAGGCTGACTTTCTTCTTTTGCATAATTTTTTTAATTTTTTTTTTCAGATTTGTAATTTAATGTTTATAATCAAGTATTAAAAATGTCAAAAAAGAAAAAAAACTTATCTTATTACTGTTATTGCTCAGAACAACTTTTCAACTGTCCATTATCCTAGTATGTAAATGCAGTTGGCTCTGCAAGTAGGCTTTGCCTTACACTATGCTTTTTGCTGACAACAACAACCGTTAGTCTTATTTGTTTCAGGTTTGAAAAAAGAATGTAACCAAAGTTGAGAAGATTATTTGCATTAACTTTGCATAATGTTGATAATTTAATTGTTTTTCTCTTTCCCATTTCAGGAAGAAAAAAACATTTTCAAATGACCAGCTTAAGACTATTTCACTGTTTAAGAAGAACAGCTTCCACATTATCTTCATTTCAAAATGTTACTTCAAAAGAAGTTGCAACTAATGACTTTTCTAAAACAGATGAACCAGTCACAGAAGCATCTTTACGACTTCCACCTTTGCCTTCGCCAAGGGATCTCTTAAAACTTTATAGAATTAAAGCTCAACGTAATTTGTCTCAAAATTTTCTTCTGGATTTCAGACTTAACAATAAAATTGTCACCAGCACAGGAAATGTGAAGGATCATTATGTTTGTGAAATTGGACCTGGTCCGGGAAATATTACTCGAGCCATTTTGCAGAACGGTGCAAAACATGTTATTGTTATTGAAAAAGATAGACGCTTTTTGCCAGCTTTAGAGGTAAGAAATAAATTTTAGTATTCATTAGTTTTATCAATATTTATAATTTGAGCGCTTAATAATTATGTCTTGTTTTTTGATAGTGTATAGAACGCTTTAACCATTTGTAATGTGATATTGTAGAAATGAGATGGTCCTAGCCCAAAAGCCCAAGCTCGACACTCATTTATTGAAAAAAGGTTTCAGAAAACGCCGGCTTGGACTCATAAAATTTTGATAAGCTTTTTTACTATAGTTAAATATAATAAATTTGCTATATTACATTTATTATATGCTTGAAAATCAGTTTTTAAGTAAAGAAAAAAAGGTGAAATTTATAAGGTATATCTCGGACTTAAGTGTGCTCGGATTATAATTTTTTTGGCTCAAGTAGAGTCGAACCTCCTAGATGACTGACTAGATCATAAAATTGATTACCTACATTATCTACTGATAATTTGGACATTTTTGTGTGAAAACCTTTTATATGTAATAAAACTACTTTTGCAAAAAATAATTTTTACAGGTGTGCATGGATGATTTAATTTTGCCTTTTTATAAATATTTATATACATTTTTATCAAAAGAAAAAAGAAACCTATTAGTAGTTTTTAAACTTTCAAAATAAATAACATTAAAATAAAATTGTTATGTATTTTCTGTTGAGTGAAGGAAAAAAATTAATTAGCTTGAACCTTTGGTCACACACATCACACACTATTTTATGATAAAAATTTATAGGAAAGTGGAGCGCATCGGTACATAGTTTAAGAACATCTGAAATATCAGTCTTGATTTTGTGAATCGGGAATAGTTTTATTATAGCATTATATTTGTAAACTGATTTTACTCTTTACATGTATTTTAGAATTTCTTGCGTTTTGAATGTCATGTCAGACTAAACTAATTTTATCTGTTTAATAAAGGTATGCTTCTATTATTTAAAACAATCTAATCAATTTTTTTTTATATATATATATATTTGTAGATATAATTAATTTATTATTTTATGAAGATTAAAAACATTAATTCAGTAGAAAGTTTAATTTACCACCAATCACAATACTCGAAAATGCTACCAAGAGAGAACATTAGTTTCAGATAGAGAACTCAGTTCTCCTGCTCAGTTATATAGGAATCTATTAGAATGTTTTTATCTACTTCAATGATTCTTGCTATTGGATTGAATAAAATATATTTTTCACTATGTTTATTGTAATTAAGGTCCAGCTTTCAAAATAAAAATTTTTTAATCTGTTTCAAAATCAAGATGCAAATTAATATATGTTTTACTCCCTACAATTAACACATTATGCTGAAGCACTGCCAGTAGTTGCCATAGGTTAAGAATTTTGACAGGTGGCTATTTGACTTGCAAAGAATTTAAAATATAATAAATTATGCAAGAAGTCTATTATTATTTAGAGTACTATGCTAACTTAAAATTTCTTTTCTTGTTACTTGTAAAATAATGTATGAATACGTTCACTAATTCCATTTCATACATTATTACATATTTATATAAACTTTCTTGAACTCTATTTAAAATTGTAATGTATTATTCTATGTTTAACAATTTATTATTTTTTTTAAGCTCTTAGCAGATGCCAGTGGTGGGAGGCTTAAAATAATTCTTGGTGATATAATGGAATTAAATTTGGAAAATATTTTACCCAAGTAAGTAATTTTATCATTAAAGGATTATGTTGTATCTAGGTCAACAGAAAAAAAGGAAAATATTTCAAAATTAAAAATATTTTTTGTTTAAAGTTAAAACATCACCATCATGTGATATAAAATTAGTATACTATTAAATTTGGAGTTTTGAACATTTTATTCTTACATATTATGCAGATTATCCTTCTGTGTTGTCACCTATCAGTGCGTTGCATAGTATTTTCTTGCTAGATATGTGTCCCTGGTGCATCATGTACATTGGAGCAGTATTCCCCAACCCCCAATTCGTGGACCGGTACCGGTCCGTGGATGAAATAGTACCGGGCCGCCCATTTCATTGAAACCAAATTTAAATTCCCAGGTTTATACCCCAAATTAAAAATATCTGTGTTCCATTAAAATTTTATTTATTTAAAAAAAAGGAGGGGCCCGAAAGTAGTGACGTAAATTTTTTAATGTTCGTAATGTATCATTGTCTCCGATTACCCTTAAATGGAACTGTCTCATTACAAAGAAACAAGCTTAGGGTTCTCATTGATTTAACGCTTTAGTAAGTTAAAATGTTAAATCACTTTGTATTTATTTTTTCGTGTAACTGCATTTTATTTTGAAGGTATGTTTAAATACAATTAAATTAAAATTAATAAATCAAAATAATCTAAATTATAAACAATCAACGTCCCCCCCCCCTAGCGGGCTGCTGTAAAACTATTAAATGTTGACAGGGCCGCGGTGATAAAAAGGTTCGGGAACAATGCATTAGAGGGTTGATTATCCGAACGCTGATTTACTGGAATGTCCAAGGATCATTCAAAGACCATGTTTTCCCCATTCTTCTTCTTAAAAAAAAAAAGCAAAATCACAAAAGTACTTTTTTATTTTCGAAATATCTGAAAGGGGTTGAAAAATGGTTTCTTCTCTCTCTCGGTCACCCTGCAAAGAGACTAACATTCTTTCCATCCAGTTTTGATGTAGGTGGCAAGTAATTTCTAATAAGGGAGTAGGTTTCTGATAAAATTTTAAAACATTAAACTTTCAAACACTGCATTTATAATATGCTATAATAAGCACTAATAACAATTTGTGAATATTGCAGTTTTTTTTTCTTTGTTGGATGCAAAGTCTTGTAAGAGAAATCTATCTATTTCACTGTAGATTACTTTAATCCTAAGATGGTTCACACACTAAAATGAACAAGTTAAAAAATTAACAACTGAAATAAATAAGTTAAAAATTCAAATTGTTCAAGCATGTTAATTAAATGAATAAATATATTTATTTTGTCGCAATGTTCGTCTAAAAAATTTGGTGAATAGATGATATCTCAATAGCAATTTTAGTTAAAAAAGAATGCAGCCATGTGTATAAGCAAGGAGAGACTTCCGTAGAAATGACTGCTAGCAGAAAATGCATGAAATCAATGCATATTAGTTTGCTATGAAAAGTTAAATAGCATGTTGGAAAAAACTTGTTCACTTAAAATGGAGTAACAGATAAATAAAAAGTTTTGATAATGATTGTTGATCTGGGTATACAGAACAGATGATTCTTGAGCGAGAAATATATTTACCACTGATTTTAATGTTTTCGGGTGGGAAAATAAAACATCTTCGCTTTTATAGTAAGCAAATGACAATATAAAATTGGTTACATATACATTAAAAGTTATTGAAAGTATATAGTGGGTTGTTCTAAATTAATGCTGTTGACCATGGATGTATATAGGATTCCTAAATATGGCTTAATAAAATTATACTTCATTCAAAAAATGATAATGCTGGTAATTTATTTTAGGATGCTTGCAGAACTTTTGTAATAATCTTGTAACAGAACATTAGATTATATACTATTATAATATTGTTCATAAGAATATAGGGGGCATTGGGAATCAAAAATTGCAGATTATTCACAAAGATTTGTATAAGCCATAAGATTTGTTCCTGCAATCCACATTAAAGACATCTGTACTTTGATGGATTTCAAAATAAACCTTTACAGATTCCTTCCTGTACTTTTATCCAGAATTTGAAAATTGTTGCATGACAGTTTTGTTTTCCTCTCTCTCTCTTGTTTTATGCTTCCATTCACTGAACTTCTCAGATGGACTGCTTAGTGTATTCATAACTCAAACAAATTCATTTATTCACAAAACTTCTACTAAAATATTGTTAAATAAAATTTTCTTCATCTGTGTCTTCAGAGATATTGCAATATATTACTCTCAAAATATTTATTTATTCATTTTATTTTAGGAATCTGGCCCATGATTGGGAAATACACCCTCCTCCTCTGTATATTATTGGCAATTTACCATTTAACATTTCCACACCTTTGATCATAAAATGGCTGAGGTTTTGCTCAGTCCACAAAGGTCCCTTTGCTCATGGTCGAACAAGGCTGTCATTAACTTTTCAAAAAGAAGTTGCTGATCGTATGGTGGCTGAAGTTGGTGCTAACTGTCGTTGCCGATTATCTGTTATTTGCCAGTACTTGTGTCATGTAGACAATTTATTTACTATTCCAGGTAAGTTTCTTGAATTTTTTTTTTTAAATAAATATGTTAATGAGAGACAAGCACATAGGTATAAGTCATCCATGGGGAATATTCAGAATTGAGATATTGAAGTGAGGTTAAATTTAAATATGTAGTCTAATATTAATATGTAGTCTAATATTAAATATGTACTCTAATGTTTCATTGATATTTTAAAGATTTAAAATATTGTAATGTATTAATAAATTTAAAACTAAATTTTATTTTCATTCTGTATTAACAAATCTATTAAATTTGGAATAAAACATTACGAATGTGATTTTCTTGTACCGTTTCTCTTCATTGTGCAATAAAGTGCCTTTTCTTCAGAATAATTACTTGAAATATTTTTTCAAAGAAAGTTATGTTATATTATTATAAACAATATCGAAAAACTCACCCCTCTTCTCTGTACACACTTTTAGTCTGGCTAGTATTTTAGAACTGAAATTGTATGCCCTGCTAGGTTATGCATAGTGGACTCTCAATGGAGTATTAAAATACATTTTTAAAGTAAATCAAAATTATTTTTTTAAACAAAGTACTAATGAATTTTAAAATAAAATAATATTTAATCATGAGGATTTTATTATGCAGAAGGTAATGACTTTTAAATACAGGTATATGGTACCCAAAAGCTGTAATTTTATTTCACATTTTTGAATATTACAATTTATTGTAAATGCTATTCATGAAATTTGAACAAAGAGGTGTACAGCGGTAATTTGTTAAGAAGTACTTCTATTGTGTCTCATATAATGAGAAATAATGGCTACTGTAGGAAATAATGCAGTAATAATTTAAAGGTATAGCAAAACTTTTAAATTTTTACTGCACAGGATTTTGGAGTAGTGGGTAATTTAAGCTATTCAACTCCAACCCCAGACATTTTATATGTTAAAAGAAGTTCCAAGTCTTAGGAAAATAATAGAAAAAAAATATTTATAACTTATTAAAGTAAAGATTACTTGTATTAAATAATTTTGTATAGCTTTCATTCAAATGAATATGATTTATAGAGATTATTTTTTAAATATCTCTTGGACATATGATTATTTAAAATGTATAAATACAGGTAAATAATAAAGTTGTCAAGTTATAAATACAACTATATTTTCAAAAAATTATGTACTGATACTTGCTAATGAAATATTTGTAATTACAATTTTAATTAGGAAATGATTTTCATTGAATTAATTTCAAAGCCAATGCTGCGATTCAATTTAATGTATCATCCTGTTCTTGAACAAGCTCTAAAAGTTGCCTAAATTGCATTATATTATACATATATATTAGGGTAAAAAAAATTCATAGCAGATCAGCTTGTGGTAACACTTTAAAGGTACCATTTTTTAATGAGATTACTTGTTATATAAAAAGCTTATTGTCTTTTTAAAATTACTTTTATATCTTCTTCCACTTCAGGAATGTTCGAATTGATTAATTGAAGAAATCAACTCTGCTCTTCAATGGATCAATCCAAACTTCAGGATCGTTGAAGTGGCAGAAGATATTAAGTTATTATTCTGAGATTTTGTTCTGATATTCTTAAGTATTACTGCAAGCTGATCAATCAAATTTAAATTTTTTAATTCAGAAGTAATTAAGGCAGCAAAATATATTTATTCAGAATTGCCAGATGTTGCATGCTTCTTAAGAATGGTAGTAGACAATTAAAAGATTTAAGACATTTCTTCAAGTAATGAAGTTGCGTTTTTTTCTTTGTATATTGTACTTTTCTTTGTATTTTTGGTTAAAAATTATTTTTTCAAATTATGCTATAAATTGAATGTTCCATACGGTTATACCCATATGGTGATCTTTATATGAATAAAATAAAACAAAAACAGCTAATGGTGTGTCTATTTTTGTAGGTCGAGCTTTCTTTCCAAAACCTGAAGTGGATGTTTCAGTTGTCAGGTTTACACCACGCATTCGTCCTCTTATCAGTCAGCCATTTGAGATTGTTAATAAAGTTATTTCAACAATCTTTCAGCATCGGCAAAAGTTCAGCTTGTATGGAATCAAGTAAGTGCTTATTTATTGGTTATTATGTTAATAATTAAAGCTTGGACTGCCATTTTGTTCAACACATATCATTTCAAACTAAACTGTTTTTTTTTTAAAAATAAATTCTATGTATTTAAAGAACGAAAGACATTATAAATAAACAGAAGTATGAAATATCTCACATCAAAATAAAGCTTCCATTATAATTTACCTTGGACCACAACAGCGTAGTGGTTAAGGCACTGAACACTATCTTGTCTAGAAAGTAAAGGTGGCCTTTGTCTAATGCTCAACATCACATTGTTGGCCAAGAAATTATAAAGCCTTAACCTACATGACCCATTTGACTAACTGGTTGTTAGTTTTTTTTTGTTCTTGGTATATCTACTGTAACAGAACTGGAATAAACTTGCTTTCTTATGACTTAAAAAATTTTTACAAAAAATATGTATTTTATTGTTTCATAATGCTGTAACTAATACATTTTCTTAATGGTCAAATAATAATTAAATGAGAGATAAAATGTGTAAACAACAGTTGTGTAGTGCTGTAACTTTAACCCAACTCACTGAAAGGAAGTCATAGGGTGAAATCTGAATTTATCAAAAATTACTTAATTTTCCTTATTTTTATTCTATTATGTATATATATTTCTCTTCTTTTACCGAAAAACAATTATAAACATATTTATTTTTTACCTTTTCTTTCTTAAAAAATCAAATATATAGGATATTTTAGATTTAAGACTAATTAATCAAACTGCTTTAAACAATTAAAAAAAAATTTCTTAAGAGTCATTGTTTTTATTTTATCTTAATAAACTACTTTTCCTTGTTATATTTCCTATATTTATTTTCTTACTAACTTAGCACATTAGCTTTCAATCTGTTAGTGGTATAAGTACATTATATTAAAACATTTTTAATAAAAAAGCTATATTATGAATTAGTAATATATTCATCGCAGTTTCAGAACCACTTCCCATTCCACCTCACTAAAAATGTCGAATCAGCCACACTACATCCCTGGTTATCAAATCAATATTTTATGTTATAAAAATGATCAAAATTCTAATTCATTATAAATTTGTTATTCTATGCACATTTGTATGTGTGTGGTTAGTCTTAGTAGGTATGTTACTAGGAAGCATTGCAGAAATTTTAAAAGTTAGAAGTATTGGGTGAGTGAAGTAAAAACATCTTAATACATTCACTTACAACAGAGCAGAAGCAGTGAGGTGATCTCCCTAGACAGTATATTTGAAATTGTGTTTCACTACTTCAGATTTATATAAATGATTGCTTAAATTTTTGTTGACACATTATGGTATTTTCATTATTGACGATTTCGATAGTCACTAGCCTGGTGTTATTTTTAAACAGAAATATCTTAAATTCCATCAATGGTAATGTTATAATTCTATGAAAAAAAATTAACCAAGCAATTGATTTTTTAGAGTACTTAGTTCTAGTCAACACCTATCTTGTTTTTTTTTTCTAAATGTAAGTGCTTACCCATAGCAATATGTTCATGAAAATTTATTTGAGCGTTTAACCAAAATCACTCTAATTTTATTGTCCTAACGTATTCGTATTCTACTGTGCATATTTATAAATCAATATTCCAATGAGTTATTTAATTTTTAGAAATCTCTTTCCAAAAGAAAATCCTGAACTGGTAGAAGAAATAGTGCAAAGAACAAAAATAAACCCCGAAAAGAAATCTTTCGAGTTGGAAATGGAAGACTATAAAGCTTTATGTGACGTCTACAGTGAAATGTGTAACAGACATAACAATCTTTTTAATTATATGTATCAAATACACCAAAAAGATGAATATCCTTTAGATGCAGATGTTACAGATGAATTGCCTACCAATAAATAGTTTTTATTAAGTTTTATATTTTTGCTTTACATTAGACATATATTTTTTTAGATATAAATTTATTATAAATCCTTTATAAAAATAAGCTGACCATTAAAGTACCTTTTTAATTATATTAATTTATATAAAAAGTGTTGGGAAAAGTGTTCAAACATATGTCTGTTTCTTGAAATGATATAAATCTTAATTGTATAAAAAAGTAGTTTATTTTAAAGTATGATTCATTACTTTTTAATATATATACAAACAAATATGAATTGAAACTAGATACTCAACAAGTATCATAAAAAAAAATTTATTTACAAAAGTGAAGTCAACACGAGATCATTAAGGACCACATCTCACATACAAGTATAGGAACGTGTTAAAGATCATTTATTCTAAAGTACCTAAAATAAGAAAAATGAAAAAAATATTACATAATATTTGAAATGAAAGTTATTATTTTTATTATTAATATTTTTTTATTATCCTGTTAATATTTAAAAAAAAAATAATAACAGGAATGATCATAATTTGAACAAAACATAATGTATGCCTTACAAAATATTTTTTTTATCTTTTGGAAAAATAATCTGAGTAAAACATTAGTTATGGAAAAAATTCTCTATATCAGAATGAACTTATGCTGATAGAAAAATGGAAAGTTAGACAATACATTGTAAAAGTATTTTTTTTTAAATTAATTTAATTAGTAAAAATGAGAGAAAATGTTCTAGTAGCCATTGAAAGATATCTTAGTAACTTATCCAATCAAGATTCATTTTAAAAGATTTGACACAAAAAAAATTGGGCTTGCATTAAAAATTCTACGTAATTAACACCAAGGGAAAAAACCAAATTTTAAGGTAGTACAGTTTTGCTTAGTTCTTTCCTTTCTGACAACATAAAAAAACGTCGGCAATATTTTATAAATAATTTAATTAAAAACATAACGCCTGGAAGTGTATATAAGTCCAGTAATGTTAAAAACTTAAATAGCAGTTGAGTAATCCCTAATTCATATTATGTAACAGAATATTCAGTTTTCTGATTTTTNTTTTTTATCTTTTTTTTTTGCTCACAGTACATACATTGTATGTCCGAATACAGACAGTGAATGTACTCGGTTATATTGTACACAGGTATAATATATGTAAGCCAATGAATATGCGTATGAGAATGTTGTACGTATGAAAATATGTATGACTTCCGCAAAATTAAGTTAAAATTGAATTCAGACGGAAAAATGAATTCCATAATTTCCAAATACACTCAAATAAAATCAAATACATTTTTCTAGATATACATTGGTTAGTTATATAATAAAAATAATAATACTTTATTCCGATATCTTCACAATTGAAAGCATTAGTAAATATGATAAGGAACCATGTTTAATGTTTTCTAAAGCCCCATACTGCTCAAAATTTAATATCTCTTGTCAACAATTTTATTTTATGTATCCGTCATTGAACAGTCGACCCAATTTTGGGTTTACGACTACTAATATTCAACTCCGTAAGTGAGAAAAAAGGAAGAATGAAGGAAAAAATAAAATCTTAAGAAATGCCGATTTAGACAAATGTGGTTTCACATAGAAGAATCAGAAAAATAAGAATATAAAATGTAGACTGAAGTATAGAAATTGTTTTAGTATTGCCATAGGCTAAAATCTTGAGTATATTTCTTAGCATTTATTTATTTATTTTTTCTTTTCTTTTTTAAAGTATTTTTCCCTATCTTCTTTTGCAATTGTTCAGTTGAAAATTCTTAAACTATTTTCTTCCACTTTTGCATTTTTCGTTAGCGGTTCAAAAATATACCTTTATCGAAAAAACTGATTCCTACCATTTGAAAAGTGTTGTGAGATGTTTTGGTATTTCTCTCTATAAAAATAGTTAGCTTAAAACCATTAAATCAGGAAAAAAAATTTGAAGATTATTTAGAATTTCAGAGAATATATTTTCAATAATTTTGAAAAAAAAAAGCTTAATGCGGTAACTTTGTTTTTGTCAGTTTTGATAAATGATAAGACTTATACTTCTAAATTAACTAAATTTTTTGTATAATGTAAATGTTGAATTATCTTAAATTATAACATAGTTTCGTCTTCTGTTTTTAACTTACATGTATATGGCAGATTTTGCGTGTTTTTTGAGGAAAATATGACACTCTTTCTTTCAAATAAAACCAGTTTTAAATAAATTCCGCTGGAAAAAAACTTTTTAAAACTTCCCAAATTGTCTGTCAGATGGTATAAAATAATCACACAATGTTAAAACAATCAATAAAATTTGACAAAGAAATACGAAATATCAATTTCGTTTTATTAGGTATAACTCTAAAATAAGAACAGCCATAAATGATTTTCCATTTAACTGAACAGTATTTTTTATAGATAGTGATATTTACGGCACAAATATTATCGATCTTGCATGTTTTGAATTAAGTTATTTTTTTAAAAAATAATAAAAATTTCTACAGATGATTTTAAATTTATATATGCGTTTCGGAAAATATGACGCTCATTATTTCACATGAAGTGAATTTTAAAGGAATCCCGCTGTGCAAGAAATTATAAAACATTCTCAAATTATGCGTCAGATCATATGAAACAATGTCACTCTATAAACAAAATTAATCAAACTTAAATGAATGCGAAACAACTATTTCCTGTTTAAAAGTAAAGTATGGGGTTTTTCATTAATATCTTTGCCATATTTCATCCAGATCAGTGTATTGTAGTATAAACGTATCAAGTAACATGAAACAGTAGATCTGAGAAATTTATGTCCAATCAATAATTTTTTGCCTAGTTGCTACTTTCTAACTATAAATATAACAGTGTAAATATATGTGATTTGATGATAATTAGTATAATGAAAGATATGTGGCAATTAGTGTAGATTGAAATAGATGGAATTTTGCTGATTATGGTAAAAATAAAATTAGTGAAAGATACTGATTCATATAATAATTGCAGACCGTATATGGTGAAAACAAAATAAATTGTAGATGATGAAATAAGATGTTACTTAGAATAAAGATTTCTATTTCGTAAAATAATAATGATAAGCCCAAGCTGCAAAATAATAAAAAAATGTCTTTTTCAAGTAACATTTAATGCGAGACAATAAATTTACACAGAGCAAAAAATTCGGGCAAAATCACCATACTTGTATGGTAAAGATATTTCTGATGAATGAAACTACAATTCCAGGAATTAAACCGAAATATACGGTATTTAGACTATTCATATGGTGACTTCACCGTTCACTGTTATTATGGTTCACCGGAAATTTTTTTTTCAAAATTATAGTTATTATTACAATGCATTTAGTACCAAATTGAAATCTCGAAAGTAAATGTAACCAAATAAATGGCTTTATGCCATGCTTTAAACTTTAAGTATCACGACATTAACATGCTTTAAAGTTTAAAGTATCACGATAAAATGACCAAAATGATCTTCAGAACTAGCAATCAGTTTATCATTCATTTGATATTTTTAACCTTTTGATTTCTTTGCTTCTTGACAAATAGAAGATAATCTGTTCACACTTCTTAAAATGGCAGTTTATTTGAATGGTTGATAGGAGTTAGATGACAGTTAATTATTTCTTATTCTAATATCATTTCTCATTTATAACAAGGGTTGAAGGGACAAGAAGGATGGCTTCAAATGTTCAATTAAAATTTTTTAAAGATAATAAACTCAAATATGCTGACTGCTTTATCCATCTTTTATGAGGTAATAGGATTTATTTATTCATTTACGTACATATGTGGGGTTTTTTGTAACTACAAAGAACAACTTAAAAACTCTTTTCAGTTTGAAAAACAGATAGCATGATTTTATGAAACACAGCAAGAATATATTTGGAATGTTATAGTGGGATTCGAACCCACTACATATACGTTTCAGAGTGGTTAGTGGATTAGCGATATTGCACTGCGAGGTTCAAGTAAAGCAGCCATATAATATTGGGGACTCCATTGCTGCTAGCGTTGTCTTTCCGCCAAACGCTCAGAAGCGTAGAAGTGGTGGTTTCGATATCTTAGTGCTGTTTTTCTCATTTTTGTACTATCAGTTCTGCAATTTAACAGGAGACAATCAATTATTTGGATTAAGCACACGACCCTGTACTTGTATCTAAACCAAATTTATATACTTACTGTTGCACATTCATGATTACGCTTTGATTCGAACCAGCTACCTCCACTTTAAATATCGATGGTACAAAGGCGAGACTGGTGTAAAAAATAATTTTTAAAAAATCATTGCTATTCCAAGAGTTTATTTTTTCTATTTATTGTTACACATACATATGAGGACTTGTGTGCTCTTTGCAAAACACATTTTATCTAAGTATTTAGTCCTACAACAGTTTAAGAAAAGATTGCCAAAATTAGAGAAGAACATTACAAAGATGCATCTATTGCAACGTGGAGGTAGATGCTTCAAGTTTGAATCCCACCATATCCCAATCTGTATATGTGTGCGGTCTTTCACTAACTTGTGCTATATGTATATCGAATTGACAATGACATATTAGCCGAGCTTTGTAATGAGAACACAAGCCTGGTATAAGTGTGCGACAATAAATAAATAACTTCAAATAAATAGATGCATCCATTGTTATGGTGGGATTTGAAACCCCTACCTCTTCGCTTCCATTATAGGATGTTGAAATAGCCCTGATGTAGTAACTTTATTTATCCTGATGTAATATTTATTTAGTAACGGGACTATGTACATCCACAAATCCATATTTTTTGTAATTTAAAATGTTGGTAGTTGTTAACTTAGAGTTTCAATAGGAAAAAGAAACAAATATTAACTAGTGTTTGCTTTATGAAAAAGAAGTTAACAAAATGAACATTTTTGAGTCATTTCAAACTATACTTTTGTTTACAATGTTCTGTTTTTACCATATTTATGAACAATTTTATTGTTAATTTTATCAAAAAGTCATTACTAAGACGCTTCGGTAAAAACTGCCTTTAGTATTTTATTGGAAAAAAGGAAGGGTT